ACAGCGTACGAAATACTCATATGAAATTCAGTAATCATAGCTGATTATATTAATTAAAAATTAGGTACATTACCTTAGATTCTGTATATGGAGTTAGCAAAAATTATTGAAATTTTTCTTTTTTTTTTTTCCTTTTTTTAATGACCTAATGCCTTGCACTAAGTTTAAGATGAAACCAATGTCTCACAGTTGCAGCTGGTTTTCTTTTTTATCTCATAACTATGTAGAAGGGGTAACAGTGATAAAAATGTGATGTACTTAATGCCAAGACAATACTAGTCAGGTTATTAGAAGCAAGACTAAGGTTAAGTAGGAGTGAGTATGCAGAGTGATAATACAGCAATCAGACAAGCTCAGATCAATAAAATTAGGATGCAAAAAGATCTTTTTCCTAGCTGCTGTAAGCCTGGTTCTCCCAGTCTAGCATTTTCCATCCCTGTGAAGTGGCAGTAAAGTGAATGGAGAATTCTGATCTGGCAGGATTCTACTCTTGGCTCATGCCCAGATGTGAATGACATAAATGATGGCATCAGATACAAGCCTTTCTATGTTTCATTTAACTACAGAAAATAAATAAGTGTAGAATGGCTTGTTTATGTCTTGCAAATAAGCATTTTTACTGAGGGGTGTTCTGTATTAGTTACAGCATTTTATGTCATGTCACCGTCAGCATTCTGACAAGGTGAAGACTTAGTCCTGCAAACTGTGTGCAGGTATTCCAGCATCTGCATCGTGTCTGATAAAATGTTACCTGGTCACTGTAAAATGGTTTTACTGACCAAGCAGTAGCTTCTCTTGGAAACATAATGCTACACATTTTAACCTCTAAGCTAGGCAGAGTTAACTGCTGACTTTGTGGGGTATTGGCATCTCTGCTGTTTGCATTCACTGTGCATTTTTTGATCCTGTTTCCCTACACGTGGAAGCCACTGGGAAGCAAGAATGTACAACAGCTTGCAGAATTTAGCCTGTAATTTTGTGCTCTGCAATGAGACATACCCCCAATAATCTGACAGAATGAAAGCAACACGTGGCCTATCAGCCCCAAATAAATATCCTGTCTCCTCCACGGCAGCTGCACTGAAAGAGATCTGACATAATGGTGTTATATCAGCAGAGCTACTAATCTCAGATACCAGTGATTCCAATGCCAAGGGAGAGAATTCTGCACAAATGGAGGTCATTCAATATCCTCCAGCACTTTGGACAAACGTGGCATTTTGGACTGTCGCTGCTGATGGCAGAACACAGTGCTGATCCTAAAAATTGCTGTAGCAGAGCTCCTCGTGCAGGTAATCTGCAGTGTCTGCTCAGATGGGCCTGTTTATTTTGATGCCTTGCAGAAGCAAGAGCCATGCTTTAGGTTTCGGTGGTAAAAGCAGAAGCCTTTGAGGTATCACAAATGAAACTTCTTTTAGACATTTAACCCTCTTCAGGAATACAATATTGCTTTTTAGACCTTTCATCTGCTCATTCCATCAAGGAGCTGCCCAGGAGGAGCTGCAGTGTTGTGGTAGGACCACAGGAGTGTCAGAGGCCACACAAAAAGCCCACGTGGCTCTCTCTGTGCTCCTCGAGTGGCAGAATTGCAATAAGGGGTACAATAGTTTAGCTGGAATCAGAAGATGCTGGGAGAATTTTGCTATTTTCGGTGTCATGAGGTGGCACATATGAAGAATCTTTCTCCTTGGCAACTATTTCTGAGCCATAAGGTTTAACCTGTTTACCCAGGCACGGAGCCACTGTGTCAGATGGGCATTGGTACCCCGATTGCAGAGACCCTGTGTTGTGTGTGCATCAGGTGTAAGTTGTCCCAGATAGGATTCCCAGCAAGGATTGTCCATATGGTTGTTCATTCTAATTTTATATTCCCTTGTTCCACCACTAATCCAGGTATGGGTCTGATTATGTTTCAAAAATAAGGAACAGCTTTTTTTCTCCTTTCATAAGTCCTCTTGCCCTCTTGTGTAACAGAGATCAGAGTAATGGTTGAGGAGAAGTTTTTGGAAGACAAACTTTCCTCCCTGGCCTTACCAGACCTCATCCTTCTGCATTCAGAGAAATGAGAGCTTTCTAAATCTTTTCCCTTTCTAAGTAAAGTCCCTGTAGGCTCCATCAGAGTAAATCTCTGGCACCAAGCTGGATTTCACATGCACAGCTGAGTGGAAATCTGTGTTCAGTCACTCCCTGCACTACTTTACAGGATGTGTTGCCTGAACTGGTATAAAACATTGAGGTTTCAGGGTTCAAGAAAGAGCACAGCACTGGGGATTGTCTCCCTGGCTGCTCCCTCACAGCCACCACCTGCCTTGCCTCTTGATTTCTTCAGTGGCCTGTTTTCTGTAAATGAGCAGTACTGCCAGCACTGCTCCTGCTCTACTTTAGAGATGGCTGGGGTACAACATCTTACTTTGCTTATTGTACTTCGTGTGTTTCATTTTCATGTGAATTGAAGAGATAGGATCTGATATCTGTGCAATGTGCAGAGTGATGCCAGGTCATGCTCTTGTCTAATAGCTGAAGCAACTGCACAGGCATCCAATTACTTAGTACAAAGCTTTGATAATCTAATTTTCTTGCTCATCTCATGCAGTCTGTTCCATACTAATGCAGCAGATTTTAAAAAAATGTCCTAAAATGTCTTATTTTTCCTGCTATTCCTTTTGGAATTAGCTGTATTAAGTATTGGGGTATCACACTGAAGCACAGCTGCAGAGCCAGAGTCTTTTGATTTTGGTTTAATTTAAACTTTGAATAATGGATTATACTTTTCTTCTGGACCTGGAATGTATCATTTAGATTGGCCACAGAGTGGGAAAAAGCAATATATTTTTCAACTGTATATGCCTCAATGAAAGCTGACAGTAAGCTATTGCATTTGAAAATACCCGTCCTCCTCTAAATCTTAACTTACTTTTATCTATATATATACTGTTTTCACCCACTTTTGAAATGCATCTGCCTCTGGTAGGCTGAACCAGCTTTAGCTGTGTATAGGACTGCAAGCTGCACTTTAATGCAATGTAATTTCCTGGGACATTTAAAGTAGAAGAATTATGGCTGTGCTTTGATGGACTCACTTATTAGCATCCTCTCCTATTCTGGAGCATCCCAAAATCTTTGGGGACTTCTGTTGCAGGCTATAGAGGCATAAAACTAAGCGTTGAGATACAAAAAATTGCAGTTCAGACTGGATAGGAATAATATTCTGCTCAGATATTTTGATTGTGGGTTGAGATTTGCCATTTTCCAAATGTTTATGGAGTGCAGTCCAGCACAACAAAGCCTCGCACACTTTGAGTTCTCCAGGCAATGATACAAAAACTAAAATAAGGAAGCAAATGTCATCTGCAAACCATAAAGAGTGCCCAGAGGAACAGTCCATTTTAATATGGCACCACTCAGTTCATGGAACAAGCATCAAGGGCAAATCTGCATCCACACATACCCCATTCCACTGGTGTGTCTGGATTTTGGGAAAAGCAGAGTGTTGGTCTTCCTGTCGGGTTGTTTAATTAACTTCAGCTTGACTTTTGTTTCTGCAGTTTACAGTCAGTTAAATCATAAACACTGTTTTGTAACTGAGAGAACAGTATGTAATGGTCCTCATCTTGTATTCTTTTTAGCCTGAATTTCATAGCCTTGTTATAATTTTTAATGAAAACAACAATTTTTATGATTTTGCTGGAACTTTTCCCAGGGTAATTGTGTCTTTTGTAAATAATATGTGATTTAGAAATGAAACTGCAGCAGAAAGTTGCTAAATCCAGCATCTTCTATAGCTGCATATTTATGTTAAGAAATTCTTGGGCCTACTGCAAGAGATTGAAAGTGTCTTAAAAAGAAGATCCACCCAAAATTTAATTTAATGGTGCACAAGGTAACTGAGCTTTCTGTATCTCAATGAGGGGTGTTCTAAATAGGAACATATCAAGAAAAATACAAGTGAAGGCAGAACATATTTGCATATCAACTCTGCTCCTATGAAGATAACTGCACATTTATCTTTTTCTGTGTATGTGCCCTTTGAAAATATTTCCAACTAATGGAAATTTTACATTTTGACCACAAAATTTGCTCCAATTCCAATTTCCTTCAAGACAAAGAGAAGCAGTGACCTTATTAGCAGTGAACTGACCAATCAAGACCTCTCTGCTCTTGGCTTTTCAGGAATTTAGAGAATTTATTCAGGCTGTGGTTCCATCGGGGACAAACCATATCCAAAGCTTGGCTTTTGTGTTGCTGCAACCTTCAGAATATCGATCAAAGAGGCCTTTTGTTGTGTCACTGCCCTGTGCTGTCAAACACAAGTGTAGAAGAGCTGCATGTCCCACATAGGTACCAGCAGCAGGGTGGCCTGGGGGGGATCAGAAACAGGGGCTCTATTGCAGACAGAAAAGATGGGAAAAAACCCAATATTCCTGCCTCAGCATGGCAGCACGAGCCGGTATTTGGGAAGCCATGGGCTGTGCCTTTCTGCTCTGGCTTTGGAACTCAGAGCACAAGGGATGGGAGGGGAAGCAGTTACAGACACAGCTGTTCATTCTGCCTGTGGTTCATTCCACCACTTCTTCCCACTCAAAGTGAGACATTGTTGGAGAACTTGGGAGAGGAAAGGGAGAAACTGATTTTCAATCCACAGTTTGGACTCGGGTACTGATTACCGAGCACACCCCTTTGTCTCTTTTATTTCATACTGAAATTAGAGGTGGCATAGAAACCATCAGTAGTGCTATAAATCCTCATTTTCTACTTGAATTGTTAAGTTAAGTGATCAGTTCTTCAAAAGTAGAGTGTGGTTTACTGCATGAGAAACAGGGACAAGGTTCTCTAGGATGCAGGTGCTTTGCATGATTCTATACATTGAATAAAAACACTTGGGAACCTGAGGAATGTCTCTTCCTTAGAAGATGGTACCCTGGTTAGAGTTTCCAAAGTTTGGCTAATTAAATCCTATGTTTTGCCTTAATTTTATGGTTTCTTTGATTATTTCTTTCTAGCTCAACAAAATTCACCAAAAATCCATGAAGGCTGGTGGGCTTACAAGGAGGTGGTCCAGGGAAGCTTTGTTCCAGGTAAGTGTAATTTAAAAACTTTAGGTTTTATTACTTTTTTTTTTTCATTAGAATTAATATTTTTTGATTGAGGGAAGATTTTTTTTGTTTGGTTTGCTTTATTCATTGTAAAGTTTTGAAGTTCACAAGGACTCAACATCCCATTATAGTGAAGCATAGACTGGTGTCTGTCAATACATCATCCAAAGACCGTGGCTGTTTTCCAGGAAAGGAATCAGTTTGATGACAGTCCTGGTTTCTCTCAGTAAAACTTGTGATGCTACTGGGTGAGTGTCTGTTCTGTGAATAGGAAAGGGAGGACTTAAAAGCAGTACTGTTAACTGGATTAATTTATCTGATTCAGCTCTTCTAGATAATCACATTTCTACAAATTTAAGAGTACATGAGGACAGGAACCTCATTGAAAATGAGCCCAGCCTGCAAGTTTCACTGCTTTTTGTTTTGGAAACAAGAAACAGTGAGTGAAGAAAATTAAATCATAACTTGGCTTCAGTGAGATTTAGTAAATGATAAATTACCAAGAGGCAGCTAAAAGGATTCTGTTCAGTATATTTACAGTGCAGTAGAGGTGAATATGCATTAATTTATGTATATTAGCTGTCTCTTAGAAGGTAAAGTAGTGCTCCAAGTTCCATCATGAATGTACCATAAAAATTGCCACGTGATCATGGCTGCTGTGTGAGCCATTGCTAAAAACATGTAGATTTGATCTATTATCAACTATTTTCACTGCTTGGAGAACTGTGACAATCTGACAGTCATTTGAAATACCCAAAATGCTGAATGTCCTGATAGGAATATTAGAGCAAATGAGGGAAAATATTTCACCCTACAAGTTTCTGGCACTGAAATGCCTGTGAAAAGCGTGCATGAAAATCAATATCAACAGGCCTGGAGCTTAATTACATATTGGTGTAGCATAAAGTAGCTTTTCAGTTTTACTTGAGATTGGTTTGGGCCGTCAGTGACACTCTAGTGTGTTGTTGTGCATGTTTAGTTCCTAATGCTGGCAGCAGGGGAAGAAACCTGGGGAATATAATCACCTGCTTTCCAGATATTTCAGCCTTCTCGGTTTGAATGACTCAGGTAGATGCCCAGGAGAAAAGGAATGAAAAAAAAAAAATATTTGCTGAACAAACCTAAGCTGAAAGTTACTGAGAAAAATAATTCAATTTTCAGGATGTAAGGAAGCAGATGTGATCAGGTAATAGTACTTGTGGTATTCTCGTCTTAATACTGTGAGAAATTTGGGCTTGGGAACATCCTTAGAAGATTAAGTCATGACTCAAGCTTCCAAGAAGGAGAACCTTTTAAACTGGTGTGGAGGGACACCTCCTCTCTGAGAACATTCCAAATTACCCATATGAGCTGAATACTGGACTAACCTAGCACACATCCTCAAGAACTGCTGCAGAAGGACAGTCAGGAATAGCTCCCTGAAGCAGCCATGAAGAAAGCAAGGGTAATTTGGGGACACCCAAATTCTTTCAGGCTGCTCCCTTTCTTTCAAACTCAGCTCTGCAGCCTGTAACCCTCAGCAGAAGAGAGACATGGCTTGAAATTTTACAAAACAAACAACTCTCTTTTTTTTCTTTTTTTTCTTTTTTTTTTTTCCCAGCAGCACCTAGACTTTGGAGCCTTTGAAAACCATATTTAAAGCATTTCAAGGCTGCATTTATGGTTGTGCTCTCAGACTAACACATCACAAAGGATATGTTAGTGCATATTAAGTTTACCCATCCTGGTAGCAGCCACATATCAGATCTCGCATGAGATGCTAATTAGCACCTGAGAGGTGATAGCTGGAGGCAGGCTGAGGAGCTATTGCTGAAGTTGCTGACTGATGTGCACTGAAGCAAACAGCTACAGCCATCTGCTAAGATGTTTTCTTTCCACAGCTGTTTGTCCTGACCCAGGGCTGGAAGTTAACACCCCCAAAGATATTAAAAGGGAGTATTTGTCCAAGAGTCTGTCACTGAAGCTCAAAACTGGCATCCAAGCTGATATGATTGACGTGCATCCAGCTCTTGAGCTGCTTGTGGGAGCCCCCACAAGCACAGAGATGATTAATTGGGGGCAATAGCATTGTAAAACGCTGCAGGAGGAGATGCTGGAGTTTGTCTATCACAGCTTCAGCTGGGTGAATACTTTTTGCCTACTTCAAAGCCAAGTCAGTGTCTCCCTTTGAACTATCACTCCTTTCAAGTATAGCTGGGTAAGAAATGCATTCAAGAGTGTGTCACAATATGCCCAGGTTAGAATATGCCATTCATAAGTTTTTCTGCTTAATAATCTCTTTTGGATGTGTTTAAGTCAAGTCCTAAAACATGTTCTGGATCCTGTGCAAATTTGTCGTTGAGCAGTTCATGAAATCAAATCAACTTTACCACATTCCCCAAATTCCAGGCTCCCTGTATTCTGGGATAGATTTTAGAAAAAAATATTTTAAATCACTAATGTTTGTCTGGACTCAGGGTTTTTTCCTACTGCAAACCACTTGCAGTCACTGAAGTGTATCTAAAGGCAGAAAAGGATGCAGGCAGAGATGAGGTAGAAGACCCCTCTCACCATCTTTGCCAACTTCCCTGCTTGTGCTGCTCCACAGAGGAGGCAGAAATGGGAACTGGCAGGTTCTCTCACTATGGTAAATGGCCTAGGTCTGTCTTGGTGCCCAGCCTTGCAAGAGGTGCAGAGTTGTCATGTGCAGGAAGGAAGGTGCATCAAGGCTGGATCTGTGTGTGCTACTGAGGCATAAACCACCCTCCCATCTCTCACCTTCTCAGGAAACAAAGAATTGCTCTTCAGGTTTAAATCATGTAGGCAAACAAAGTAGAAAGTAAGTAGTGCTTTAAAATGTTAATCGAATGCAAATTAGGTTCCAAATTAAACTTCAGGGAATGCTCAAGGATGAAGGAGGAATACTTTCCTTTATGCATGGGGATTTGCATAATAATCAAATAATTTATATTATTACAAACTTTCACTACATAGACTTTTTTTTGGTAGGGAATATCAAAGTAGTTCATGATGGGTTAAAATACATTTAAATAACCTTTTTCTTATCTTTTGTTTAGCTGAGTAGCGCTGTGACTACGAACATGTTGTGTCACTGAAATAGTGCCAGCAATTTCAGGGTGGCTGAGACAATCACATTTCAAATTATTCTGTACCATTCCTGGTACTTCAAACAGATGTGCAGAACCTTTGATACTTTACTATCGTGTGTCTGATTTTATTGATTCTTTTCATACTGTTCCTGTTTTTTCTCTTCCCCTGAGATTCTGAGATGAGAAATCCCCTGTTCATGGTTCCTTTCACAACTCATTTTACTATAAAAGGGGAAAGACAGAGTTTGGTGATGCTGTTCCTGCCCTTTGCAAGGATCATGTAGATGGGATTATGCCCTAACATGGACCAGCTGGCAAAGCTACTCTGACTGGAGGGAGACATAGGCAGTGATTGTGAAGCACTGAGAAACTCCCTCCGAGGTGGAAATGCATGGATTTGGTAATGATTTATGAGGAAGTCTGAAACAACTGATGAGCTCAATCATGAGTGCCAAAACCTCATTTTAAACTTCCTGCTATCACCATGTGCTCTTGTTATGTCCCACAGAGGCAGCTCAAGTGTCCCTGGTTTCCCCTGCGTGAGCTTCCAGATTTCAGCTTTGAGATTTCTTTAAACTACACATTTTTTATGTACTTGTCCAGAAATAACCTTTGATGGGCAGGTCACAGTAAGAACCATGAACTGTTTGCCCATCTCTTGAGGCTGAGAGATACAGAACTTCAAACCCACACACTTCAACTCTCATTTTATGCCACCCTGCAATCACAGTCTCAAACATTGAAACTGCCTGAATGTTACAAACCAAACCTGCTGATTGCTACTCCTGCACTGCTTGTTTTTGAACTAACTATAAAATTTTTTCTAGTCTTATTTTGGGACTTCAGGAGGCTGCAGCATCACTCACCATCTGGTGCATTTTGCTTGTCAGTGAAAACAGTGGTGCTGTCTGAGCTACAGCAGTGTTTTAAACAGTCTGCACGCACTCTTCAAAATCATGCAGTCTGGAGCTGACTCTGAAGAATTAACCAGCCATATATAATTATTTATTGGAACAATAATAGCAGTTTTTCTTTTAGAAAGCAATATATTGGAGCAGCTCATTTCTTCAGGGTTATAGAGCGTAGATCCTGGAAATCATTCACTTATTGATTTGAACTTAACTTAGTGTATATATATATATTTCAGCTTTGGTTGTCAGTTAAAGTTAGCTTGAAGGAAATATATTTCGTAACAAATATTTTCCTGGTTTCTTACTTCCTTTGGTGATTCTGCAAAAATTGGCAGTTCACAAATCACATAACTAGAAAGAAAACTAGGTAATCTTTTCTTGTTTTCACATGGGAGTTAAATATGATTCAACGTGGACTTTATCCCTGTCACAGCACCTGGTGAGTCTGTGATTTGGTTCCCACAGCCCCCTCACTGGCAAGGAGCTCAGGACTGAGGGTTACCCTTTACAGGTGCTTTTGTCACTGTCATGAAACTCAAAAAGTTTCTGTTTTCAGATCCTTTCATTTCTTTGAACACCCATCTACACAATCCTTTTTACAAGAGTCTTTTCAACAGAAGAAAAATTGTGTGTAACAGAGGTATCTCAGACTTTGCCTCATTATCCTGAAGTGACCCAATGATTCAAGTTGTCTCCCTGCCTGTTTCCAGCCCCACCAAGTACTGCAAAGGTCAAGCCTTCCCTTTATAACCAACACATTGAATAGCAGGTTGTTCCTTGCTGTGTCACCACCTGTCCAGGACCTCCCCTGCTGAACCTGCAGGTTCCATCCTGTAAGACACAAACAGTGCCCCTCTTCTGCTTCAGGAATGTGCTAATAAGGAAGACCTTCAAGGCAGGAATCTGCAGATCCTTGTCAATTATTGTACTTCACGTTTTGCTGCTGGGTTAGACACCCATTTTAGGGATAGCAGCACTCCAG